AGACACTGGAACAGACTGCCTAGGGAGGTGGTTGAGTCGCCATCCCTGGATGTGTTTAAGTGTCGCTTAGATGTGGTGTTGGGTGATATGGTTTAGGGGTGAACTTGTAGTGTAGGGTTAATGGTTGGACTTGATGATCCCAAGGGTCTTTTCCAACCTGAATTGTTCTATGATTCTATAATTCTGTGAATAGAGACATTTAGCACCACCTATTTTACCAAACACTCTTTGCAAGTTTTAGTATTGATAGCTGAAAGTTAAAGTTCATAAGCATAGCAATTGACTAGAAAATTATCAGATTAGGCATATTTTCTGGTAAATTGAAGTTGACCAGTATGTTGTCTGTGGCCTTGAATTGACCCGGTCTTAGTAAAATCTCATATGGAACAATAACAAATTAACTTTACTACAAAGCAGTTTGTAGAGCTGGAGGAAAGCCCGGTAGCCCACAGTCAGGCATGGGGACATACAAGGTTAGTAGGCTAGTGAGAGGCTCACAGAGACAGACTTTAACCATCAGATGTTCGCCACACACTGTGGCACATTCTAGGAAATTAAGAGCAATACAATTCTCCTACCAAGGAAAGGTAAGCTGAATCATTTCCTCTTCTGTGTGTCTCTTTTTTTGTCTCTTTTTGTATACAACAGTCACTGTTTCCTTTTTTGTCTGCTCACTAATTTAAACACGGTGAGTGCAAAGGGAAAACTTACAGGCTGGCAGAAACCTCATGGGCTGATTGGCTTCCCACGCCGAGCACACTGCCAAACCTTGTTTTGCTCTTCTTCTGAAAGGCGGGGAGCACCTGCTGCGGACTGGAGTTTTTAATGTCAGGGCAAGAAGCTCACCAGGGCTCAGGATCTCTCCAACAGAGTTATATATATGTGTATATATGTGTGTGTGTGTGTGTGTGCATATATGTATGTGTGTGTGTATATATATGTATATATGTGCATATATATATAAATATGTATATATATGTGTGTATATATATGCATATATAGTCTAGTGAGAATCTCTCTCATCTACAGTAATGACAAATTTAAGATACAACAGCAATTTTATGGCCAGTTTCCTATCAATCTGCAGACACTGAAGTATCACACTAAGCTTATTTGTGTGATACTTCAGGGTGTTTCTTTGACTACTAAATTCCAGCAAAATATGCACAAAATTCTGACAAAATCAGACCTGAAAATAGGACCAGACTCTTGCAGTTTCTTTCATGCATTTAAGGAAAACAAAACAAAACAAAACAAAAATATATTGAGAATAAAAGCATTAATTAGAATGACTCTATTGTATATTTGTTATCTCTATGACTAACACCAGCAGAAGTCAGCTGTGAACTATTTCAAAGCCTCCTAGGTGAAAATTGGTGAATTAATATTGCAGTCATCAAGTTATAAAAATTCTGTCTGAAAATAAGTAATCTGTTAGACAGCATTCCCATGCTGGATCGTAGTCACAGATATGGAAGCAGAATGTCTGGAGGATGCAAAAGAATAATCAGTAGGAACCACCTTTGGGCAACATACTATATAATATAACAACTGCTAATAAGTACCAGGTGCATTTGTTAAAGCAGAAGTTCTTCTCCACTTTGTTTATGCTGCTGATACTAAATCCTTCCTAACCTAAAACTGAAAAAGTGTCAGTAAATTGCATCTAAATAGAATTGAGTCAAGATTCATCCATTTATCATAAATTGTATTACGATATGTTGTTATAAAGCATTCCACATAGTCAGAGGCTGAATGGAGCTAGAAGTTCTTGTGAAAGAAAAAATGCCCCAGAAATAAATGCAAACTACTGCATTAATTATGACTACCAAAAAACTGAACCATGTTAGTGAATGAGATTAGCAAAACTAAATAAATTGTCCATATTTCTATTTAAGAAAAGGTATAACAAAAAAAAATTGTTCCATGATTACCCTCTATTGGTACATATTGAGAATGTCAAGCAGTGCTCATGTCCAGACTATATCTGAAGTACAAGAAGGAGAAGAGAAATACAGTGGAATCACAGAAGACCATACTTACAAAATCAGCTTTCAGTTGCTGCATATCATCTTCAAGTTGATTAAGATTTAAGGATTTTCCAAAATGTCCAAAGTAAATCATGATGACAGACAGAACAAACAAGCTGTTAGTCTGGCAAGTCATTTTCTTGGTGGTGGTTCAGTTCTGGGAGATGTCAGTTCTAAGAGCAGTGAGCTTCAACTTCTAAAAGTTAAATCTTCTATTAGAAGAAAGTAGACGAATGAACTTCATCTGCCTGTCAGTTGTATTTATACCTGGTCTTGAAATTTTTTATTTCGTCATCACAGGCTATGTATATTTAGACAAGATAGTGTTAGATAAGCACCATTCGTTTTGGCTAATCAAGGGAATCCCTCGAAAGCATCTTCTTAAATCATGGTCCTGGAAAAAATTTTGAAGGTTCGTCAATGGGTAACATTTACGTGGCAGGTTCTGAAGTTTCTTTTACACGTGGTTGGGGAAAAGGGGGAAATTACGATACAGCTTGAGGAGTATGCATTGTGGCTCAAGCGTATTCATACACACTATCTGAAAACAATCATACCGTGTGGTTAAAGGGTCAGTATAACAGTCAAGTCATTTCTGGTATTCTTTTAAAGTAACCACTGAGGTTGCCATGATATTCTTCAGAGTAACGTAGAGATTTAAACATTCTCCCCATTTCTGTCCTTTTGTGAAACATTATTTGCATTCTTTCCATGGTCTAAAGTGCATTTCTGCCACTTTTTCTTTCTGCTCCTCAAGACTAAGAGAAAATGAGGTTCCAGCATGGATGCAATGATGCATCATCTTAAACTTCTTCATGATTGTCTACTATCTGCAAGAATACTTACTACTCAAGACACTTATTTCTGCTTGGCAATAGTTCAAGTTCCCTACCTGCCCATTTATTTGTACATATGTTTGTAAAATATGAAAACAGAAAGACATGGGGAAAGAAAAAAAAAAAAGCAGTTGAAGAAGACAGACAGGATGGTCTCCAAGTGCATAGAAACCTCTGGAACAACTGTATTGAGGGCAGCTTGGAAAAAGGTTTTTTTCTAGGAACTGAACACTGCTTTGATGGTTATTGTGGGAAAGAGCTTACTGTGAAGAGTCTTATGAAAAAATCAGAATAATTTTAGACTGTATTATATGAATGTAGGGTAGGCAGAAGAGCCCACAGGGAAAAAGAAAAAAGAGAGGATCAGGAAGAGAGCGCTTGTGGACTCAGTTCATACAGGCTGTAGTGAAGGATGCCTGTAGTTTATCAGAAACAGACAAGGATTAAAATGGCCCGCAATAAGTATGATTTGAGCTCTTCAGCACAGCCCCAGATGGCTCTTTGAGTGTTCCTTGCAAGAATATGGCCCCTTGTCCAGCAGCACCTTCTAGCTCAGCAAATGACCACTAACACCATCAAACATTTTTCACCTGCAGCTTGAAAGAGGATGTCCATCTATGGAATAGATCTAGCCTACTACTACCATTGCAAACAGGCAATTGCCATTTTGAAGAGACAAGAACCAAATTTGACTAGCAATTACAGCCCCAAAAGCTGCATGCTAAAGCTCCCTGGAAGTAGCAACATAGGCAGATGGCACACATCTCAAAACAGGTGCTATACTGCACGAAAATACGGGCTGTAATCTGCCTGGAGTAGTAGCACCATGAAGTTCCCACCTTAGTTTTAGTTCAGGAAATTAGAACTTTTTAAGCAATAACTTGATTACTGGAAGTATTGACATGGAGGTGAGGACATAATGCTATTTAAGGACACTTCAAAGCACTGTAAGAAAGTGCAAAGTTATCATGCCTGCCTGTGCAAGAGTGGTTGAACTAGATGGTCTTCAAAGGCTCGTTCCAACCCAGACTACTATGATTCTATGATTCTATGCTAGAAATTAGGATCATAGAATCATTTAGGTTGGAAAAGACCTATAAGGCCATCAAGTCCAACCATTAACCAAACACCACCAAGTCCACAAATAAACTACGTTCCTAAGCATCACACCTACATGTCTTTTAAATAACTCCAGGGATAGTGACAAAATGGATGTCCCACCAAAATTCAGAGTAGACTCACAGTTGAAAATGGACTCACAAATGTCCGCGCGCTGAACAAATCTATTGGTAATGTTGAAACATCTGGATTGTTTTGCAAGGCAAGCACATTCAAACAGCATGTTGTGGCACAACTAAATGCAGTTTTGTACATGCAGGAAAACCAAGCTTTTTTTACAAGGTCAGAGACACGTGCTGAGACACATCAGCTGGTCATGAGACTAGGGAGCAATTCTTTGGCAAAGTGTTGGAAGGGAGATGTCAACTGGCAGAAGGAGATAGATTCCTGTTACATATGGCACTCTTTATGCTGTCACAAACATACAACTGGAACAGGGACTGGGTTATCAAGCCCATTTTTTGTCATTACAGGTCCTGATTTGAGAAGTATTTTTCTGTTGAATTACTGGAGAGTGTGAAAAAGAAGACTTGCAAGGAGGGAGAGATTCATTACTCAGATTTAGTCTTCTTAACATGTCAAAGATAAATCACAACACAACTGAACACAATTGCTGTAGTTACCCAGCCAAGCAGAAGATGTAATTCCAGGAGCTGAAAGATTAACTCAGTAACACTGCTTTTCTCTGCAGAGAACCATTCATCCGGAGTGCCTATGCTGAATTGGACTGCCTTGTTATACCTCTCAGACATGCATCTCATCCACAACAGTCTGTGCCTTTCAGATGACCTCCTTTTGGTCTCCCACTACTACTAAACTTTTAAGAATAATAGGAGGGTGAAATATCAGAAAGAAAGAATTTTTCCAACTCATCTTTTGTAGACACTGGTTAGAGTTTTGGGCATTTATATGGTTAATGTTAGCACTAGGTCTCCTCACCTTTCAGAGGAGGCCGCTGTCAAGTATCCAATTTTGCAGGCAAGAAAATGGAAGCACAAATGACTCATGATCATCCAGCACCTAGAAAAGGCAAATCTAGGAATACAAACAGGGTTTCTCAGTCCCGTTGTAGTCCTTTGCCCACTAAGCAATGCTACAGGTACTATATCATAAACTGAGTCAGGAAATAAAGCAAAGAACAAAGGGGAAAGTCATGATGGCCGTCTTTGTCATGCTATCTTCTTAATGCAAGTGTGACTTCCAGGTACCTCCTCCTGCATGTGGAGGCTAGATTCAGGCTTTCTATTCATCTCCATATTCAAATTCTCACAAAAACTCTTGAACATTCTGTGGTAAATCATCAGCTGGACAGAAATGTATTCTAATAAATAAGTATAGTATCCCTTTTCCAAATCCTTTACATTTGAATAAATGGTACCATGTTAACATTGATATGCTCGTTTCATAACATGCTCTTCTATGGACACACCATCACCTCTCTCCAAATTATTTTGAAACTAGGCAACAACCCATAGCAGATGCTCAGAATGTGAGGGTCCTCAAGTCCCAGGGGTCCCGCACCCCTGTCAACCCTGTTCTGCTTCCCATTCTGCCCAAAAGTGATGAAACAGGACACCTTTGTCTGGAGTATGTCTTGTTGCTCAAGAACGGTGAACAGCCATGTTGTGAGGAAGTTTCAGATTAAGACGGCTCATCTTCATCACCTTTCCTGAGCATCAACATGGTTACAAACAAAATAGGGGGTATCATACAAATATCAGCCATTTATAGGCAGAGTCAAGGGGCTAAGAGCATCCAATTTTTTAATGCATATTCCTTAATAGTTATCCACTGAGTGAATGTTGAAGGAAACTGAACACTCAGCACTAACACAAGATCTTTGCTTAATCTAACTCAAAGAGATGCCAGAATAGTACTGAAAAATCCTGTACAGAATTGGAGTAGTCCTTCTGTGCAGCTCCATAGCCACAAGTGGACTGTCATCTGTTCCAGACACAGTGGGAAATGAAACCTAGGCATTTTTTTCTTTTGGCTGACTGGAAGTCTTCTGACTCTTCATGCACAGCAGAGGTTTCACACCCTTCTCTTCATACAACACCTTACACGAATTACCCGATGATGTCCTTGCAAAGTCATGTCAAATTTCACTGTGACCACTGAATAAAGGTCTTTCCCTTTCATTTTTTGTTTTATGAGTACTCCTCAGTGTGCTGGCTGAGTGGTTAGTAAGGAAATGCTTTACCAGCCCAGACGATCTCTGCTAAACTTTCATTTCTCTAAAAGTCAGTGGCTTCCTCTATTACCACTGCCCAAGGAAAGCAGCTTAGTGCTGGAAAACCCTCTCTGAGCTGTCATTCTGACCTTACGTCACACTTCAGCTCTTAGCCTCCTTCTTCTTTCAAGCAGCAGAAAAAATGCCTTCAGTTCTTCCCTCATAGTGCTGGCGGGTGGTAAGGCATTTAAGAGATTAGACATCATGTGTGCATTGTACCAGTGCTTTGTAATTACTAAATATTGCTATTTCTGTTACCGCTACCTTCAAAGTAGATGGCTTGATAACCAGGCAACTGACCCTTACAAACACACTCTAAGAATAATATTTTTCCCTACTGCAAAAAAAATACCAAACACTACTCTCCTACAGATGAATATGTTTCATTGGTCTTTAGCATCATGGAAGATGTAATGGTCTACTCCTTGTGAACACTGGATCTCTGTTATTTAAAGGATACTTCCAATGCTCATTAGAGATCATGGTGGTGCAAAACAGCTACATTATTTTATAAGGGAGAAAAAAAATGGGGCAGGGGGATTTTCTGGGATTCTCAAAATGAACTGTTTTGACATTTTTCTAAAAAAACCACTCTATCCTGCTCATTCCAAGCACTTTTTGGAAATGCTGTTGTTTGAGAGAACTGGAACACCAGTTTGTACCATTTGAAATATGACACATTACATACTCCTGTCTGCAAGCAATTGGCAATGGGAAAATGTATATTATTGATCCCTCTTTCCATTCACAAAATGTCTCACACGTTAGGTGTTGAGTCTTCCAAGGAAATGGAAGGAAGAGGAGCACCTGGTGGTGTTAGACATTTAGAAAGAGAGATGTCTAGACAGAAAATGGTCTGATGGGTACAACTTTAAGCAATTTGAGTGTAAGTCCAAAATTATTAAAATCATAGTACTTCAACTGGCACAAGACATCTGTTTCATTCTT